ATATATATATATCACATTCTCATGAACTGTTTTTCATTTGTTGGACATACAGGCTGCTTCCCACATTTAGTTCTTGTGAGTTGTGCTGCCTGAAATGTGGGTATGCATGGATCACTGTAATATGACATCTTAAATCTTTTGGCAGCATACCCAGAAGAAGTGCAACTGGGTCAAATAGAATTTCTATTTTTTAATTGTTGAGGAGTCTTTATACTGACTTCATAGTGGTTGTACTTGTTTAGATTCCTACCAACAATTCATTTGGGACAAGAAGGTACAAAATAAATAATAACAAGGTAGCGGGTATCATAATCCACAACTTGAAACTATACTGTAAAGCTACTGTGACAAAAACAGCACAATACTGATGCATTTGTTTCTTTAAACAAACTCATATAGGTGATGTGAAAAAAAAGGATAGAGTAAGAGAAAATGTTAAGAAAGTAATCCAAATAAACAATGAATTTTATATAGTTAGACTTGAAAAAACAAAAAACAAAAACAAACCAGCAACAAAAAGCTCAGTGGAAACAACATAGCAGAAAATATCTCCCCATTTTCATAAATTTCCTAGTATTGTTTGATCTGCAAGTCCTGAATACTGTAATACCCCTCAGCCTACTGAGGTCTATGTGCAGGTTTAAATGATTTATTAAATTGCTACACTGAAAGCACTGCAAATGCAGTCGTCTCAAATTTATTTTAAAAGTCCTTATGCATAATCCCTATTACATAATGTAATATATGAGCAGTATTTTTGCCATTTTTTTAGTTGTCTGATAATTTAATGTGTTTGATATCTTCTGCCTTTTCTCTGGATCTTTGCAACTTGGCTGATTTTATAGCCAGACTGGGAAATTTGAGAGATTTTTGAAGTAGAATTCAATATATGAAAATTCACAACCAAGCAGAGAATTCTGGGACGTGCCAGCCTAGAGAAGAAGGGCGAAAGAAGAAAGCGGAGACACTGGGAACATTGGGAAGGAGTAACATGACTCCAGAGAGGACAGGGCAAGGGGAGGAAGAAATGCCAATGTGGGTAGATAAATGAGTATTCTTCTAGGATAAAACAGGAAGCCTGAGCAAGACTGTGATGTCATTTGCACTCAGTCCAGATCTGTAAATAAAGGTTTGTGCAAGTGGAGGGACTTTCAAATCACACAGGGACTTTCCGATGACTTTTTATGAAAAACAGTGAGGACAGGGAGAGAAACTGGGAGCCAGGGAAGTTAAGAGTCAGCGTGGAAATCAGGACCAAAGGGGAAGTGAAACATGAAGCAGGAGTACCTACCTGGGTTACAGGGGCCAAATTTTTCACTGATACAAAATTACTATGAGGAAGAGATTGTCCATTGGAAGAGCTATGAAGTTATTACAGAGCAAAAAGAGTTGCTGAAGTCAGAGGTCAAACAAGCTGAGAGACAAAAGTCCTCTTTCTCAGTGAAATGCTGCTCCTACCACTGGCACTGCTTACAGTGGTGACACTCAGCTGGTGAAACTCAGGATGGTAAGAGGAATGTCGGCTCCTGCAGGCACTGGTGCCCAGGTTCAGCATAAAGTCAGGCTATGCTTATTCAGGTGCATTTCAGGATTAAGGCTTTGAGCCCTCCTGTCTCCGGGCCTCTTGCTCCTTTCTGGAGGTTGAGGCTGGAGCCCGAGTCCCTGGGGCTCTCAAATGGGTCAGGTGTTGTGTTTTTCGCAGATTCTTTTATTGTTCTCTTCTTCTCATGCTTCTTTTCCTTTCATCACCATTTTATCCTTCCTCTCTCCACAGCCTTCCAGGGGCAGACATCCTTCAATGTCATTCAAATCTCATCCTTTCCAGCAGCAGTCAGGCAGAAAATTGAGACTAAGGCTGGTTGGGAGATTTGCAGATTGATGGCTGGGACAATGGAGCAGGCACCGCTATATTCCCGGAGCCCAGGTCAAAAGGCAGTTTGAGTGATGAAGAAGTTTTGGAGTTGGAGGCCATGTTTTGACTCTACTTATTGGAATTCATCACAGAAGTTGAGAATCATGCCCGTGGTTTCCAGATGGAATGTGAGTCCATTCCTTAGACTGAGGTGTTGGGAGTTGTGAATTGTTTCCATCTTCTTTTGCTTCAGACCACAGCTACTGCAACGTAGCTTCTCAACTCCTCCTTCCTTCACACAATTGCTTTTCCAAATTTCTTCTTTCAGACTCCACATTGCCCAAGGCACTCCTGATTTCTGTGCCCTCTGCAATCATCGCTGACAGAATAAAGGCACTGCTTTAAGATCCATTCCTAGTTTTTCTAGTATGAACCTGCTCTTTACTTTCCTAAGCCATGCTGTTGCAAAAAAGTGTGCCTTTTTTCTGTCGTACATCTTTTCCACCTTCTCCTCTTTGAGCTATCCATTCCACGTCATCCTCTGGTTCCCTCTGAAATGTTGTACTCGTGACGCACTCTGTAGTTCTCTAAGTATTGTAATGATTTTATTCCATCATTGCGCGTTTCCAATATGATCCCTCCCAAATTTCCCAGTCTTGCCACCTTCCTCTCTTTCTTTACTGTTTAATGACATTTCTCTATTTTCTCCACACAGACCCCTTTGAGATCCAGGCAATAGCAGGCTGTTGGTTGCATTCAGGAGGGGCCATTATAAGCTTCTTGAGGGCAGCTTTGGGGACTGGATTTCATGAGCTTCAGTAGTTATACATGTCGGCCTGCCCCAGAAGGTGGCATCAGGGCACAGAAGTTCTGCACATTAGTCGTGTAGTACAAAGCAATCTGTGATATTGAGGAAAACCTCCTTGGAGAAGTTTGCCCTCCATATCTGATGAGTGCGCTAAAAGCTGTGAAGGTGGATTTGCAGAAGGAAGGTTAGTCCTGTTGTGTTTCACTTGCCTCACTTCCTTTCATTCCAAAGAGTAAGAAGGTACTAGAAGAGCTTGCTCAATAACTCATCTCCACTGTCAATGAGGAAAACAAACAATGTCTGAAGTTCTAGGTTTCTGAGGTAAGTGCTCTTGGCTACAGTTAAAATGTGACAATCTCCTTGCTCATTATTGCCACGGTGAAGGCTGAGGCCTGCCTGTCCAGTGGGCCCAGCCCTGGGCCTGGCCATCTGCAGCTGGTGTGCCACGTCTCTGGCTTCCACGTGGATGCGGGGTGAGCAGGAGCAGAAGGACACTCAGCGAGGGGATGTCCTGCCCATTGCTGATGAGACCTGGTATCTCCGAGTGACCCTGGATATGGCGGCAGGGGAGGCTGCTGGGCTGTCTTGCCGAGTGCAGCACAGCAGTGTAGGAGGGCAGGACATCGTCCTCCCCTGGGGTGAGAAGGATGGGGGCTCAAAAATTCATTTCTGTTTCTGTTTTTTTCTTTTTCTCATATTTATTCTTTGCTTTCTTTCCTTTCCCCTACCACCCCAACTTCCCCTTCCCTTTGTGCCTTTTCTTCCTATTTCAAATTATCCATTATACATTTTGATCCTTATTACACTTTCAGTTTCTCACACCAGAGAAACTGTTTAGTATTTACACATGTGTGTGCTATTTATTTCACTTAAGAGTATGCCCTCAATGTGCATTCACTTAGCTATAAATGTCTCTAGTTTCTCGTTCTTTCTGCCTGAGC